AAGAAAGTTCAACTTGATTCTAATTTTATGGTGCGTTCTACTTAGCAGAGTCTTAAAGGGAAAGCCAGAGAAAAGAAAATGTCAATAAACAGTTATGCTGCATAACGAAAAGAAAATGGCACACTCACTAAATTGCCAAATTACTCTTCACTAATACTGGAAACTTAGTCTGTTCTTTTTAACACAGGGATTCAGTTTCAAGTGGTCCAGGTAAAGGCTTGGGTTAGAGTGAGGGCAGCAACTAGTGTGGCTGTGAGAACTCGAGTAAAGTAACCCTTCAGCGTAGACTTCCTTTTGGTGGTTGGGGGTGCTAGGCATGTATGAGGAAAGCGAAGTGTCCAGGCTCTTAAGAAAACATCTGTCCCTCTTTGAGTTGAATAGTTACCCTTCTTGCTGGAACTCTCCCACTTCAGCACCATGATGTATCACCTGATGGAAACAGGGTAGCATAAATAGATTGTACTCAGAGTTGCTCATTCCTTCCTTTACAAGATTCCAAAACATTGTATTTATAAAGTTTCACAGTAGATTTTGGAGTTAGCAGTGTATCGGAGATGTCCTTTGAGGGGTCAAAGTTTCATGCAAAGATCTCTAGACAATAGTTAATTATTAAAGTTTTGTTTCTTTTTCAAAGATGGAATATTCAAGTTCTAGTTCATTAGTAGCTGAAACTATCTTTGAATTAGAATGTCTGTATTTCATGATAGGTTTTTTTAAAAATGTAAGTAAAATACAAGGAAGCAAGAAAAAATTTTATAAGAGAATTTGCTGTATTCTAATAAAGTTCTTAAAGTTTAGAGAAAAAAATACCTTTTAGGAACTATTTAACATGTATGGATGCTCTGCTTGCATATATGTCTGTATGCCACGTGTGGACATGATGCCTGCAAAGGTGAGAAGAGGGTGTCACATCAGATAGCCGTGAGCCTTCATGGGCACTGGGAACTGAGTCCTGGTCCTCTGAGAGCAGCCAATGCTTTTAATACTGAGAGCAAACTGTATTGTCTACCTTCTTTCTGTTGATGCGCTGTATCTTCACACACGGTAATTCCTTGTATGATGTATTTATGCTTATAATTCTAACAGTCTCATCTGAGGCTTGCAGATAGATATTTATATGTAATATAAATTATAGATGATTATATAATTATTGTATATGTAACTATGATTTATGCCCCTCATTTTGCCACAGCACTAGAATTATTTTTTCTTACCTTAAACTTTATTTGCATTGAAGAAAGACAATTTCATCTTTAGCATAAACCAAGAAATCACATGGTTAGCTATAAAACCTTTATTTAATAAACTCTAACCTGGGCTGGAGAGGTGGCGGCTCGGAGTTTAAGAGCACTGGCTGCTTTTCCAGAGGTTCTGAGTTCAATTCCCAGTATCCACATGGTGGCTTACATGCATCTATGAGATCTGGTGGTACATGCAGGAAGAACACTGCATACATAATAAATGAATGAATGAATGAATGAATAAATAAATAAATAAATAGATAAATAGATAAGTCTTTAAAGAAACCAAACACTAACCTACAAATGAGAGAGTAGCATCCATTAATTATATCACCTCTAGTGTGCTTTAAAGTTTGTCTATGTTTTTCAAACAAATTTTTAACTGCTAGAAAATACTATGTAAGTTTATACATATCAGTTGAAATGCCAGAGTAATGTCTCTCAAACCTGGCATTTGTAAAGCTAAGCTATTTTTACGAGTACTAGTCTTTTCTTCATTTTCTCCTAGCCACTGTTCTACTGTCTATTGGAATTCTTGGGCTTTTTATAATCATGTATTATTTTCACCTCGTTCTATAACCAATCCAACTTTACCTTCTCTGTCAATCTTTTCTGAGCTCAGCTACTGTGCTGTTATTTGAGAAAAGTAGAGAAGGAAAGAAAATAAGCAGCATATTAAGCAAGAGCAATAATAAATTTGAAAAGTTCTGTAGAGTATTTGATCAATGCAAATTTATATGTTATGTAAATACACAGGTGGTGTCATTGATGTCTTTGGATTGCTTCAAGGAAACGGTGGGGTGTGATGAGTAGTTTTAAAAGTCACAATCTGCTTCTTCAAAGGAGAGCTGATAGAATCAATATATTAAAATAAGATGCACACATTTGCAGTTGGGGGCAGCAGTGGCGTAAGATGTAGCTCTGTAGGTTAGAGCGTTAGCTCAGCTATCATCTTCAAATAATTACTCAGCACAGTCTTATTTCCCTTCAAACATCTGGGGAACAGTTTGAAAATTGCAGATAGTATTCTGAACTTTGTCAGGGATGAGGACTGCAGTGATTAAATATGTGTGGAGTTTCTGCACATTTTGCCCTCATTCTGAATCCTCACACAGGCCTGTGTACAAATGAATGACTTGCAATTGACAGTGGTAGACTTCATTGAGGATTTTTATTTTGTAAAATATCAATATTACTCAGATTATTTATATTTAAACCCAACTATTCCATGCACATTTGCATTAAGGTTGTTGGCCTAAACTGTAGGTTCTGTGACTAAGTATTATATATATATATATATATATATATATATATATATATATATATATATAGTGTTAAGTGTGCCCATAAATAGAACATGTTTTGTACATCCTGCAGATTAACTTGTAAACGTATTAGGGCAGAAGCTGCTAATCCTTTTACGTTATGATACATAATTAAAGTTTTGAAACAAAGTGCGTGGACAGGGGATGATAAATACAGTACTTGTTGACATAAAAAGAATTGATGTCAGCTGGGCATGGTGCCACACGCCTGTGATCCTAGCACTCGGGTAGGCAGAGGCAGGCGGATCTCTGTGAGTTGGAGGCTAGCCTGGTCTATAAAGCAAGTCCAGGACAGCCAGGGCTATACAGTGAGACCCTGTCTCAAAAAACAAAAACAGAACAACAACAACAAAAAGACTTAATGACAGTGTGTGTACTGACGTCATGGTGTGCCGGGGCTGTGTTGCCAGTTCCCACGTTCCTACGGTACTGACAGTATTGCATTTAGGGTTGGTAAGAAAATGGATTCGTGGCATAACACGATAGTAATTACAGTCCATGATGGATCAAGAGTTTATCAGCCTATTCAGAAACCCACAATCTTGGTCTATTAAGATATTACATTCCATACAACTCCCAAGTGTGTTCTCACGAGGGACATGGCAGAAGGTTAGAGGTCTGCATTCAGTAGCAACATATAACCTAAGTGTACATGGCTCCTGTCTGTCTTTCACTCACTTACTTCATACAATCCTTCTGGATCTTACCACTTGTTTCTAGTCTCCTGTACATTGTAGTTTAAAAGTTTTTACACTGTCTATTTTTTTTTTTCTCTTGTCATTTTTCAAGTGCCCATTTCATGAGATAAACCTCTTGGCTTTCCTGTGTACTGTAATCACAAGAACACTCCTCTGCCTCCTTTAAAGGAATTGACCCTTTCCCTCCAAAGCCTTTACTAAGTACTACTTTATGTCTTTAAAAAAAGCAAAACAAAACAAAGACAAATAACTTTTGAATAGTCTAAGATGCTTATTGAGTGAACTGTATAATGAATGTTTTCTCAAACATATTTGTGAATTTGTACATAATATACCACAATCCCACCCCAGCCCTTTTGTGATAGCCAGAGTATTGTTTGCCCTCACGAAATCTGTTTGTCCCCTAGTTCTCAGACTAGTGTTCCTTGGAGTGAACCATTTAAACACAGTACTTTCTAACTAAAAAAAGGCTGATTCTAATATTACTTTTAGGATTAAATTTTTATGATTTTTGTTGGTTTTAGTCAAAATCTAAAGATAGAATTCAAATAGAACCTTGGTGTGCTTTAAGCTTAGCATAACATTAACCTTCTCTGAAAATTTGTATTTTCTTGGGTGTTAGGTGTATCTGTTATAGGTTAGGTTAGGTGAGGTGGCACATACCTTTAATCCCAGCACTCTAGAGGTAGAGACAGGAGGATCACTGTAAGTTTAAGGCCAATCAGGTCTACATAGAAAGTTTCAGGACAAACAAGGTTATGTATTGAGCATCCCCTCCCCCAATACTTATCTGTTGACATAGATTGTTAGAAAGAATATGAATAAATTATTTACTGGGGACTTGCTTTTATTTTAATACAAGGTTAAGATTCTTTATAAAGATGTCGATAAAAGTGTTAGTTTATGTAGTACTTGAAATAAAAGTAGATTGACAGGATTTCCTTAAAAATCTATGGTTTATAAAATGAAAAACTTACAGGTGGTACATGACAGTTAAATATGCAGTAATGTGTTCAAATACCTGTAGTTAATTCAGTTAATTTTTGATCCAGGGCAATGTAGCGTGTTGAGTAGAGGAAATTTAAAAAAACATTTGGACTTTGAGATTGCACTAAATTAAATTCCATTTTGACTCTGGCTTTATAGCACTAGTAGCGCATACCTTGCACAAGTAGCCATTCATAGTAATAACTACATGCTGGCCTATAGTGAAGGGGCGAGGGGGAGGGAAGATGGGTGTTTGTCTTTAAGAATTCAGAGCGAGAGCTGGCTGTGGTGGTGCAAGTAGGTGGATGTCCGCCAAACATAATCTATGAGTGTGCTTACCATAATTGTTCTTGAGTAGAATTGCTAGGCATTCAGGTAAATGGTCTCTTAGTTTGAGTTAGATATATCAGTTTGTGTTTTGTCTCTATTTTCTTATCGAAGCTTACTTATGGACTAAGTATGTATGAATAATAAAAAACAGGAAAAGTTAAATTTTTCTCTCTTCTGCACTTAAGAGTATCAGGGACTAATTATTCTCAGATTTCTCATTTTATCTTAAGCCAGATTCTGTAAATGTGAGTTTAGTTATATCTTCTAAATAAATTGCATGTCAGTGATTACATTTGCATCCTGTGGGCACTGTTGAATGTTGTATTTGTCCTCAAAAGTAAAAATGATTTTTATATTGACAGTAATAATTTTGCATATTTAAGAACATAATTTAAAATGTGTCAACTTATTTTCCTTAGACACCAGAGAAGAAACAATCTGAGTCATCCAGGGGAAGAAAGAGAAAAGCAGAAAATCAGAATGAAAGTAGTCAGGGTAAGCAGACTCCGTCTTTGTTCAGAGACTGTGCACACTTAACAACTCACTTCTCTGATTTTTAACTAATTAGGATGGTAATTGTTGAATAAGTGGCTTTGTGGTTTGCAGATTTTATATCTGGTATGTATTCTCTGTATTTGTAATGGCTTAGGACTGTACTTCTCATAGAAATAATAAAAACTTGAAACTGCAGGCCTTTGTACTGTGTAGTTAGCTCACGGTTAGTGTTTGTGAGCTTTGACATTTCCATGTTGATTTGGGTGTAGAGTCTGGTAAGCATTTCTTTATCTCCTTTCATTTTTCCTTTTTCTTATTAAATACAATATTAAAATGGCTTCTTTAAAAAAAAATACAATCTTTACATCTAACTTTAAAACAAGCAACCTGTTCTCTTTAAAAAAATTTTAAGAATAGATTCTAATTAAAGCATCTGTGTTTTATAATGCTCATTTTTTATTCTTTCTTGTATATATAAACTTGTGATATAAACTTAAGTTATTTTGTTAGACTATACATGATCTCTAAAATTGTTTGTGTGTGTGTGTGGGGGGGGGGGTGCTTGTGCATATGTGTTTGTAGGTGAGTGTGTCTGTTCATGTGTACAGGGGCCAGATTTTCTCTGTCACTTTCTGCCTATTTCTTTGAGGTAGGGTCTCCTTGAACCTAAGGCTCATTTTTCTTGATTGGGCTGGAAGCCAGCAAGCCCCAGCAATCCTCCTGTTCCCACCCTGCTTGGAGCTGGAATTTGTAAGGGGCCCGGTTTGTTATGTGGGTGCTGAGACCCATCAGTTCTAGGACCTAACTTGATCTTGTAGTAAGCACTTTTAGCCACTGAGCCAACACTCTGGCCCAGAAGACATGGTTTCATATCACAAACTGATATTATTTGATTTGGGCCCTGAAAAGATAGATAGAAACTTGGGCCCCTCGGTCGTTTGTATTGGTGATTTTATGTATAGGAGTTGCATGTTTTGGGGCCAGTCTTTAGGCTTATGAGCTGCCTTGCCACTTTACACATGGCACTGGAGTCAAACCGTGTTTGTTGTTTGCAGCAGTTGTCTTGGGCCTCTTTAAGGTGTGTGGTATGTTGGATCTCAGCTTTCAGTTGCTCCGTTTTGTCTTGGAATAGGCCCTCCAGCCTGTGGCTAGGGAACATGTAACTTCATTGTAAAGGGACATTAACTCATTTCAGCAACTCAGAAAGTAAACTTTCCAAATAGGGTGAGGATTCTGCATTGGTTTAGCTAACTTGTCTTTAAGAACTAGTGTAAAACATTGAGGTGGCCATTGAGATTGCTTAGTGGTTAAAGACACTTGCCACCATGCCTGATGACTTGAGCTCAGTCCTTGGCGCTTGCATGATAGAACAAGAGAACCAAGTCCTGCAAGTGACCTCTGACCTCCACATGTATACTGCGTGCCACTCCTTACCCCTCACACTTCCGGACACTAAGTACACTGAATAAGAGCGCAGGCCTTTTAAGTGTCTGGTCTGCTGCCCACAAAAATGCCTGGTGTTCTTGGTGAAGATGGTTGTCTAAATTGGATCGCCTCATTTTTTCCTCACTGAGCATTTGCTTTAGAATGACCCTGGCTTATTTTCTCTTCCACCCCACCCTTCTGTGAAGTGAGTTTCAAGCCCAGAGGCAAACCTACCATGTCACCTCATGACTGTTAAGTCATGTTTCCATTCCGTAAGCAGTAATGTATAATAGAAGTACTGTTGCTTTAGGAAATCAGACCGCCTCTGAAACTAAACAGTGGGGTAACTTTCTCCTTAACAATAATGGACCTTGGAGGAGTGGTTCTTGGTTAAAATTAACTTCTGATGAGGGAAATACCAAACGGGAGTGCAGCTAGATAGGAGCAGGCTCTTCCTGAAATGAGATGTCATATATATGGGAAAGGATATAACATATGCATATAAATTTGGGCTCTTAATAGAGAAAAAGAATTAGGGAACTAACTTCTAGGTAGGCAGCATACATCTTTTCTTCACTGACAGGTAGTGTCTCTTCCAAATCTTCATGGATGTCATCAGAGACACAAAGAACATCTGTTTAGGATAAAGACTGACCTCTAAATCAATTGATATGAAAGTGTTGGTCACAATTCTGGATAGCATTTGTTGTCCTGAGTCCTCACAATGCCTGGCCCTCAAGATGTGTTTGTTGTGCTGATAAGAGAGCTCCGTTGATAAACTCTCTTTGTAGACCAGGCTGCTTTACAGAGATCCTTCTGCCTCTGCCTGCCCGAGTGCTGGGATTAAAGGCGTGAAAATACTACCTTTCTTAATAATAAGTCTTTTATGCCTGGTGGTAGTGTCACACGCCTTTAATCCCAGCACTTGGGAGGCAGAGGCAGGAGGATTTCTAAGTTTGAGCCAACTTAGAAATCTACAGAGTGAATTCCAGGACACCTAGGGCTGCACAGAGAAATCCATTCTTCAAAGGGAGAAAAAAAAAATCCTTTAAAACTAATGGAAACTTGGGCTGGAGAGATGGCTCAGGTTAAGAGCACTGGCTGTTCTTCCAAAGGTCCCAAGTTCAATTCCCAGCAACCACATGGCTCCTTACCATCTGTAATGAAATCTGGTGTTCTTTTTCTGGCCTGCAGGCATACATGCAGGCAGACTACTTTGTAAATGATAAATGAATCTTAGGAAAAAAAAAATGTAAGGAACGGTGTGACCTGTGATGACCCTACTTATCAATATGGTTATAAGAACAGCTTTTAAAATGTGGACTTTTAAAACATACATCCTGTTAATTTACAACAAACACATTTTAGACGAAGTGAGACCCTAACTCAAAAAAGAAAAACTGAAAAGAAAAATCAAAACATATTTTACAAAATAATATGACAATAACTATGTTGTCTGTCCAGCAGATTAAATTTGTGTTTGTATCAATCAAAGCTGGTTTTCATCATCGTTATTAATAAAATGTGGCTTAGGTTGTCAAATACAAACTAATTTGTCTTTTCAGTTTATTGATTTTAAACATATATATATATATTAAGGAATATTAGTAATGTTTTGAAGATTAAGGTCCATTTGCTGAGGGTATGGCCATGCTGCTCAGTGGTAGAGTACCCTTAGCATAACTGAAGCCCTGGGTTCGGCCCCCAGCAATCCCTCTCCAACAAGGAAAGGAGAAAGGTGGGAGGATAGAGAAAGGGAAGAGACAGAAGGAAGAGAAGGAAGCAGGAAATCCTTAATGTTATTTGTCTGAGTTTTCAGTAAGTGCCACACTTCCATAAATTGGTATGTATCTATTAAAATGTGATTTGATTAGGTTTTATAAATGTTTAAAGACTATTAGTATTTTTAATACTCTTACCTTATTTAAATGCCACACACTTTTAAACTAAATAGTTTTTATATGCTTTTAATTAAATAAGTTTTGTTTTAATTTGACACTTTTCTCTTTTTGATGTAATAAACGGTAATCACAACTGTCTTTTAAATCTATGCATTTCAAAAATATATTTTAGGAAAAAGTATTGGAGGACGTGGCCACAAGATTAGCGACTATTTTGAGGTAAGTTTGTTAAGAATTATTTCTAGTTCCTAATTCAGTATAGTTGTTCTGCAAGTTGATAATCTTTTCTTTGAAGCACAAGGTCAGCTTTTGAGAAGAATGTTAGTATTTCTTTCCTCGGAACATTAAAACATGAGAAAATTTCAGAGCACTTTCTTACATTCTTACTTAAGTGACTCATACTGTAGGTAAACTTAGCTCTTGTGTTTTCTTTGCAGATGGAGAAACTAAAGACAAGTAAAGTAGCTGCCCAGATCATAGAATAAATTGGAGTAACAGAGTAGAACCTGTGATCTTACCATGTCCTTTCAACATGGGCTTTATCATCTAATGGCAACATTAGATGAACCCTATGGATAGAGGTTAAAAGGTTAAGAGGCCCTGAAAAAAAAAAAAAGTTATGTTTTTAGTCTTTCTTAATCTAGACTATTTCCTTGATTCTGCATACTTTAGGTTTCCAGTTCCTATTTGAAAGTACTGATTTGCTTGTTAAAACAACAAATGTTACTTCTTCAGTAGAAAAACCTGTCTTCACTATTGAGTGAGAGCAGAATTGGCTGATTAAGACAACAGATAAGTTCGGACAGCACACTCCTCCAGAAGTTTGTTTGTTTGTTTGTTTTGTGGGGGAGGGAGTGTTTTTTTGTTTGTTTGTTTGTTTGTTTGTTTTTTGGAGGTTAAAAGAATCCAGTGTAAAACTGTTTCTAGCCCCAAATTATCAACTGCTTTTTAGTTGAGTTGAACCACTCAAGGTGAATATCATAAAGAACTTGTAGGGGTGAAATCAAATAATCTTAGGCTCTTGAGTGCCTATTGTGTGCTGGATGATAAGCTAAACACTAGATAAATTGAGTTAAGAAAAATTCTTGGGTTGCAAGAAGTTGTTTAGTGAACACACTAGCCAGTTCCCATTTCTGCCATTCATATCAAACTTAAGTTAAAATTAATAAAAGATGGCATAGACAATAAAGTCTACCCCAAGAGGAACCATGCAGCAGTGAACTGCTTATTGTGTTCTTGGTTCAGAAGCCTGAGCTAGGGAGAAAGCACTGTGCGGCAGGTGGCTGACATCAGTATGCAATGAAGGCATGCACTTCATAAGAATGAATGGCATTTGTAAAGTTTTTTTGTTGTCATTACAGGAAAGGATTTGTCCTATATAATAATTTTATGTAATGCACTGAATATTTGGATATCATAACAGATCCTGTGAATAATGATTCTAAGATGGTCATGTTCACAGAAATCACATAAAAAGTTTTACATTTCTTGGGATTAGAGACTTTCTGGTTTCCTTTAAATAATAATTTAAATAATTTTCCTTTAAATAATAATAGGGAAACTTTGCTGATCTTTTGAGGAACCATATAATATGTTCATTTTGGGGGTGATTTATTTGTCTTTGACACAGTAACAAATTGTAGCCAGAAGATAAAAGTAGTGAGTGGTCATTGTTATATCATGTAGTCTTAGGTTTTATATAGCTGACCTTGCTCTTGCTTTTTCTGGACCCATTTAAATGACTTTGATTTTATCTGAAGCAAAGTATAATTAGATCTGGAGATATAGACCATCTGTGTGAGGCTCTGGGTTCACTCTCCTGGACTAGAAATAAAGTAAGATATATTTGAGTTAATTCCTTAGTGCCAAGTCTAAAATAGTGACTGTGCTTTCCTATTTCTTTTTCTCAGTACCAAGGTGGAAATGGCTCGAGTCCAGTAAGAGGCATACCTCCTGCAATCCGTTCTCCACAAAACTCACACTCACATTCCACTCCTTCCTCATCTGTAAGCTTTTACTACTCAAGGTTTTAATGCATTGTCTTTGTCTTAGAGGTTATATATATTGAATAACTTATAATGTATTCTTTTTGTTGATACTGCTTTTGTTTGTTTGTGTTTGAGACAGGGTTTATCTGTGTGGCCTTGGCTTTGTAGACCAGGCTGGCCTTGAACTCACAGAGATCCTCCTGCCTCTGCCTCTTTTGAGTGCTGAGGTTGCAGGTGTGAGCCACTGCGCCTGGCTTGTTGACACTTTAATATAGTCAAATTTGTGCTTTAAAAAGGAGATCACAGGGGCTGGAGAGATGGCTCAGAGGTTAAGAGTATTGGTTGCTCTTCCAGAGGTTCTGAGTTCAATTCCCGGCAACCAAATGATGGCTCACAACCATCTACAATGAGATTTGGTACTCTCTTCTGGCTTGCACACATACATTCAGGCAAAATACTGTATACATAATAAATAAATAAATCTTAAAAAAAAAAAAAGGAGATCACTTCAGTGACAATCGAATCTTCTTTAATGATCTGATTCTTCTGGAACTTTTATTTTTGAAAATGAGTGTCTTAGCCAGGCATTGTGTTGCATGCCTGTTATCCCAGCACTTAAAAGAGAGGAAAATACGAGTAAGATTTCAAGGTCAGGGCTAGAGAGATGTCTTTTTGGTTAAGATAGCACTGTCTGTGGCTGTTCTTTTAGAAGACCCAGATTTGATTCCTCACAAACATCTCTAACTCCAGTACCAGGGCATCTGAAAACACTTTCTGGCTTCTGTAGGCACCAGGCATGCAGAGAGAGAGAGAGAGAGAGAGAGAGAGAGAGAGAGAGATAAAAATTTTAAAAATCAAGAAATTTAGAGTCATAGCTATACAGAGAGTTGGGCTGTCCTGGGCTACTTGGGAGCCTGTCTCAGAATTTTAAGAAGAGAGTTTTTAAGCTGAAGCTTTCCTAGATTAATTGATTGTATGTATCCAAGAAGTGTTATTAAAAAAAAAAAAGCCTGTAGAGCCTGTGGAGTAAGGTAAATACTATAGCATCTCTATATTCAGTTACTAATTTCTGATTTTTAACTTTGTTATTGATTAAATTTAACATGAAAATAATCATGAATCATTTAGAGAAATTCTTTTAATTAATTATTTATTCATATTACATCCTAATTGTAGCCCTTCTCCTTCCCTTTTCACCCTCCTTCTTCCCCCCCACCCCTCGTTTAGGGGAATTCTTAAGAAAAAGTCTGGCTGTTCAGTTCAGCACAGAAAAAAAGATAAAATTAGCTTGTAAAGTTATTTGTTTTTAACATTTTAAGACACAGTTTTTATGTGCATGGTTTTGTATCTTAGATTTTATTTTTCATTAACTTGGAAGTTGGCTATTTTCTTATAATAAAAAATTATAATGTATTTACATCCCAGTTGTAGCTCCCTCCCTCATCTCCTCCCAGTCCCATCCCTCCTCCTCCTCCTCTATCCTCCTCCCCTATTCCTCAAAAAGGGGGAACCCTCCTCCTATACCATCTGACCCCAGCCTATCAAGTCTCATTAGGATTGCCTGCATCCTCTGTAGCCTGGCAAGCCTCCCCCAACCCCTACCACCGCCAGGGGGAAGTGATCAAAGAGCAGGCAACAGAGTCCATGTCAGAGACAGCCCCTACTCCCCTTACTAGGGAACCCACATGCAGACTGACCTACCTATCGGGTACATCTGAACAGGGGTTCTAGGTCCTCTCCATGTGTGGTCCTGGCTTGGTCCATCTGTGGAAGTTGACTATTTAACTAGAACAATAACATTGGCTTTCAGTATTTGAAAACAAATTATTAGTTGGTAAAAACCAGACTTTCTCTTACTTATTTAAGCACCCTTTCATTATTTCCTACATCTTCTATTCATTGTCTGTTAGACTTGCCTAGTTATGTCTTACTCATTTTGTTGCTTGGGATACAGTACATTGCCATTTGGGAAGGAAGGCTTAAGACTCAACTGTGAAAGCGGATGCAGCATTGATGCAGTGTTGCCATCCACTGTTTTCAGATTTAAACCATGAAACTCATTAATGAATATAATTTTAGAGTACTTAAACCATGTATTATGATTCCAGTACTAAAATGTCCGTATTCAGACTTAAGATTCCTTCCTTCCTGCCTTCCTCCCTTCTTCTCTTCCTTCCTCTCTCCTTCCCTCCCTCTTCTCCCCTTCACCCTCCCTTTCTTTCTCTGTTTCTCCCTCATCTTGTTCTCTCTTTCCCTCTCTTCCTTTCTCTCCAACTGTCTCTTCAGGGTCTCTATATGCCTAGCCTGGGAGCTACCTGGGATTATACACATGAGCTAATGTGTTTCAGTGATTTCTTCTTTTAGTCAGGATAATATTTTTAATACTTTTGTTCCAGGCCATACTTTGTTTATTAAAGTACTAAGCTTTTATGGATCTGAGTAATCCCCTTTAGGTCAAGGAATGTAAGGCTGTTCACACTGGCTCTCATACAGGAGATTCTCAAGAATGCTTGTTGAATAAATGATGACTAAGAGTTTTAAAAAGGTATTACAAGATAAATATCTTCAGAAAGCCAGGTGTGGTAGCGCATGCCTTTAAATCCCAGCACTCAGGAGCCAGAGGCAGGCAGATCTCTTGTGAGTTTGGGACCAGCCTGCTCTACATACTAAGTTCCAGGACTGCCAAAACTGTTGTACAGAGAGACACTATTTCAGCACCCCACCCCAGCCCCAAAAAAGAAAAGAAATCTTCAGAAATGTTAAGTAATTGTTGCTAAGTAGAAATGTCTTTTTCCCTGAGGTAGAAATTTTACCATATTTTTCAGGTTCGACCGAATAGTCCTTCTCCTACTGCATTAGCTTTTGGGGACCACCCTGCTGTACAACCAAAGCAGTTATCCTTTAAGATCATTCAGGTAAGTGATAGTTTTACAATTTTACTGTGACAGTTAGGAAACTTCTGACCATGTTTATATTAACAATTAAAATATTTATGGTTTGTTCTGGATAGAATTGTAAAGTAAAATTAAACATAAGAGCTGACTAAACTAAAGCATTTGTAGGTAGGAGGAACTGAAGCATTCATCTTACCATGAGCCTGCAAATGTCTCAGGCAATAAAATAACCAGAGCAGGCACCACATGTCAGTTTTGTTTACTGAACGGCTTTGAACCTGCATCCAAGTATACATGTATAGTGGATATCTTCATGATGTTGCTGTGTTGGTTGTAAGTGAATACCAAAGAAGCCATCTTAGTGTCTATGTTTATACCATTTAGAAAAAAATAACGTCTTGGACATAGTAATTTCATTATTATTACTATTAACATTCAGTTTTATGAATTTTAAACATATCACGCTTTGGGGGGAGGTTTTTATTTTTTGTTTCTGCTTTGCTTTTGGTGCTGAGGATTGAATTTGGGCCCCAGTGCAAGTAATAGGCAGATGCTCAGCCACTAAATTGTACACCTAGTCCTAGTTGTTCCTTCGTTCGTTTGTTCAGTCATTCATTTTACATGCGGCAGTTTCTGACTAATGCCTTTTCAGACTTGAGATTAGAGAGTTGATGTGTTGATTGAGCACCTTTCCTCCACAACTGTATTTCCTTTAGACTTCCTGGGTCACATAAAGTGCTGTTGTGCGTGTATCAAAACTTTCTCTGAGCTGACCGTGGTGCCACGTTCCTTTAATCCCAGCACCCTGGAGGCAGAGGCAGGTGGATCTCTTGAGTTCAAGGCCAGCCTGATCAAAACATATCCATCATATAAATATGAGCAGTTTTTACTTGTCAGGTATAAACAGATTAAAAACTGGTTTTACGAAGATACACTAGAGTAATGTATATGTGAAACATCTGTGTATGCACTTGAATAAATTTTACAAAAAATTTTCAGCATTTACACTTCAGAAGCTTAAAACTACACTAAGATATCTGGGGATGTCTTTTTACATACCACAGACTATTGTTTTTGGTTGTTTGAAATTGGTAAAATATGCCTTCACGTTTATGCTTAATAGTGTATATGATAGAGTTAATAAAATATCTTTCTTTCATTTAGACTGATCTTACAATGCTGAAATTGGCAGCATTAGAAAGTAATAAAAATCAGGACCTGGAAAAAAAGGAAGGTCGGATAGATGATTTGCTCAGGGTAAGTAATATGTCATGGAGAGGAAATTATGCAACTTATTTTGGCAGCAGTGAAACTATTGAGAAAATACTAAATATGACAAAGTGTTCTGTATTTTAAAACTAAACTTTTCTACTACTGAATGGATGTGATTGAAATCCACCTTATGGGCTAGAAAGATGGCTCAACTGTTTGCCTCTGCAATCACCTCCATACCTATATATAGATACACACACTAACTAAAGTACAAACAAATGTTGAAAATACCCACTTTACAGTCAACATACTTTATTAGCTCTATGAGTGTGAATTTAGAAATTGTTGAAGAAATAGAAGTAGGTTTATAAATTTTATTTGATCATCTACCTCCAGACAGATACTCACTTACTGTTAAATAGTTTATTGCTCTCTGCCTGACATTTGATACCACTGAGGAAGGACTTACTACCATAGTCCTGTGAGATTTTTAATGGAACCTTTATTTTAAAAAATAAATTCAGGGATTGGTGAGTTTGCTCAGTGGTGGCTCTGGTGGCACACACCTGTAATGTTAACACCCTGGAAGGCAGAAACAGGCAGATCTCTGTGAGTTCGAAGCCAGCCTGGTTTACAAAGGACAGCCTTTGTAAACCAGTCCAGGACAGCCAAAGCTGCACACAAAGAAACCTTGTCTCAGGAAAAAAAAAAAAAAAAGTTAAACAAAAATAAAGAAATAAATAAAAAGAACACTTGCTGCTTACACAGGACCCTTGGTTTGGGTTCCCAAAATCTACCTGGTAGCTCACAACTCTCTGTAACTTCAGTTCCAAGGGATTTGAAGCACTCTGGCCACCTTGGGCACCTCAAGCATGCGGTACACAGATATATATGCCAGCAATATGTACGTACATATACACACTTACACAGAAAATAAAGCTGTAAGGTATTTGGCAAGTGACTTTGCAAATAAAGGTGCTTGCTATGCAAGCCTGAAGACCTAAGTTTTATCTCTGGAACTTACATAAAGGTGGAAGGAGAGAACTGACTTCACAAAGTTGTGATTTGCACACAAACACCAAGGCAAGGCACGTGCATTCACACACTCATACACATATATTGTGCACATACACAATAAAATCTAAAAACAGACCCCAAAGTATACCTAGAATGTGAGTAAGGCATAAGGCAGGTTTTCTTGTCCTTTGCCACTCATTAGGATCACAGAAGTACTAATGTTGAACTCTACCGTGTGGAGTTCTGATTAAATTGACATGATGTAGCGTGGATGTTGATAATTTTAAAAGCTTCTATCAACTGTTGTGATTTAAACCAGCACTCAGAGCCAGTGGCTTAAAAAATTAATAAAGCCAACATCCATCATGCCATGGTACCTTTGGAACATTGCTGTCACATCCCTTACTGCTGACCACTCTCCTGGCATCAGTCATACATCATCATTCCTCTGTGTTTCTTGTATATGTGTATTTTGTGTGTGTGTGCATGTTCATGTGTGTGCGTGTGTGTCCCCATCTGCTTTGAGATAGGATCTTTCATTGGCCCAAAGCTCAGTAGTTAGACTAGACGAGCTGGCTGCTGCCTGTGTTCTTCCCCAGCACTGGGACTACAAGCCCATACTATGGGTTCTGGGGATCAAACTCAGTTCCTTGGACTTGCAAGCTCTTTAGTGACTTAGCCATCTTCCCAGCCACTGTGTAGACTTTCTTTTTAACACATTCTTACTTGTTAAAATTGTCATATATGGATCCTTTGCGCTTTGTTTTTACTGAACATTATATGTGAGAAACACACCCACACTGGTAAATATAACTAGATGTTACTTTTCATTGCTGTGATAAAATACCTGAGCAAATCAGCCTACAGGAAGATTTATTTTGGCTCATAGTTTTTACAAATTTTAGTCTATGGTCTCTTGGCTTCAGTTTTCTGGGCCCTTGGTAAGATAGGGGCATCATAGTATGAGGACCTGGGGCAAATCAGCACGTACCAGAACAGAGCAGTATTACTTCACAACAGCCAGAAAACAGAAACAGGAGGGTCAGATAACAGACACACATTTCAAATTTAGCTTCCAGTGGCCGTGTACTTCCTTTACCAGCCTGCTGTTAAAGGTTTGCTCGTCTGTAAGTTTATCAAATGGTTAATTCTCGGATGAAGTAAAAGCCCTTTTGATTTCATCATGGCACAAGCTCCCATTAGCTGTCAGCCATCCCTTGAGTGCTTGAGCCTCTGGGGTGATTTTATAGATCCAGCCACCACGCTGCAGTTTGCTTCTCCCTGTTCCTGAACTAAGGCACTAAGGAAGCGTCCTTCAGCTCTGGGCTGAGGCTTTGTCTCTGACTCTTCTAATACAAAGAATTCTGCCAAGCATTTGTCAGTACGTGGCTCCTAGGACAAATGCAGGATTTTGCTGTTGTGAGCATAGGAAACAGGAATAGACAAGAGCACAGGGTGTGGGCATCCTGTACATTATGACACCAGAATTTAATGTAACAACTGTTATTGTGTGCCAGGTCCTCAAATACTCTTCTTCCTGAGGGCTGATGGACAGCTGTAATGTGGTGTCTTGTGATTTTGTTACACATTTCTGTTGACTGGCTGGTGTTCAGCATCTTAAAAAACACTTTTAAAAATAATTAGTAGATATTTGTCTTGTTTTCTGTGAAATAAGTAAAGATATAGGGTCTCATCGTAGCTTAGCTGAGGCTGGCCTTGAATTCCAGATCCCCCTACATCCCAAGTGCTAGAATTAGATAGAGGGGTGTGTGTGTGTTGGTGATCAAACCTAGGACCACACATGCTAGGCAAGTGCTATGCCACTGAACTACCCTCAGCCATTTTTCACTTTTTATTAGACTGGTTCTTTCTTAGTTTTTAGTTTTTAGGTTTTTTGTATGTTGCATTCTTCCACTTTCTGAGATGTCTTTTCATTACATCATGCTGTCTTTTGATGATTAATTTTGTTTTTACATATTAAGTGCCTTAGATTTATACTTTGTATATACTTAATTATCAAATATACAAAAGAACTGATTATAAGATATTCTTCAGGGCTGGAGAGATGGCTCAGAGGTTAAGAGCACTGGCTATTCTTCTAGAGGTCCTGAGTTCAATTCCCAGCAACCACATGGTGGCTCACAACCATCTGTAATGAGATCTGGTGCCCTCCTCTGATATGCAGGCATACATGCAGACAGAATACTGTATACATAATAAATAAAAATAAAATCTTAATATATATATATATATATTCTCCAATGAAGAATAAGACCATATGTTTTAACAGAGCAAGGAGGGATGTATATGGGTGGTTGGAGGAAGAAAGGGGAAGGGAGAAATGTAACTATAATCTCGATTTTTTTTTTAAGTAAAAATAATTTTTTTGATCTTTTGGTATAATTTGGTGATCTCACTAGAATTGGTTTGTGGTATAGTGTGGAACAGGGATTTCTTCCTATATAGCCAGTTATCCACTTGAATTAAAAAGTTAATTCCTATACTTCAGGCTCCACCATTAAATCTTATTTCTAGATGCAGTGCACCTACTTCTGTCCTGGGTCTTGTTTTGTTTTGTGTATTACTAAATCAGCCCTGAAACACTGTTTAGCATTTAGCAGTGTCTTTGTTAGTAACACAATATAAACAGCAGCACTTCACATGAGATAGAAATGTGTTTTGGAAAAGAACAAAAGTGACAGCAACCTAGATATAATTGCTCAACAGTTTCAAGAGACCTTGGCTTCTTTAGCAGTTTGCTTTTTGTCTTTAGTGTATGACTTCCATCTTAAAGATCACCTCTGGGTCCAAAATAAAAATAGTCACAATCACAGTGTCTGTGTTCTAAGCAGAGACCAGGAAAAAGAGAACTACAAAAAGCACAATTCTGTGTGCAGCCTTTTTGAATATTTACTAAATTTACTTTTCTTTTTAAGAGAACCTGGTAACTAGTCTTTTAGCTAGGTACGTATCATTTCAGAATTAAAATTTTATTTCCATTATTATAAAAGAAGGAGATTAGAGTGATTGTAATTACTGTGGCTTTATATTAAGGCTTTTTCTTTGTTTTGTTTTGGTGAGACAGGGTTTTCTTATATAGCCTTGGCTATCCTGGAACTCACTCTGTAGACCAGGTTGGTCTTGAACTCAAGATCCAACTGCCTCTGCCAACCAAGTGCTGGGATTAAACCTGTGTGCCACCACCACCTGGCTATATTAAATCTTGAAATGTAGTGTGAAAGACGAAATTTACATTCCCTCTTAAATGTGTTATACATACAATACATACCACATTTTATTTTTAGCTGAAGTACATTATACTTGTTCGTTTAGAAATAAGGGAACTGAACTTAGATTCAGATTATGTAGCCAAAACTATATACCTTGGAATATACATGTAAATATCTAGAGTGTGTGTATAAATTTTCTGTGTTTTTACTATGTGGTTAAATTAATGTTTAATAGTAAATAACTTTTGGTATTTTTCTTACCTAGATAACTTATTCAAAATGCTAAAACCATTGCTAAGATATTCATACACTGAGTCTAGACCTTTCATTTTCTACTCATGTTGTAGGCCAATTGTGATCTCAGGCGGCAAATAGATGATCAACAAAAATTACTTGAAAAATACAAGGAACGATTAAATAAGTGTATATCAATGAGCAAGAAGCTTCTTATTGAAAAGGTGAGTCATTACCAAATTTCCCTTTTCCCCAGTAGCTTGCTTTGCCTTGCATGCTTTTACAGTTTGAATGAATAGCTTGGTGGTGATGGCACATGCCTTCAATCACTGCACTGGGGAGGCAGAGACAGGTGGATCTCTTGAGTTCAGGGCCAGCCTGGGCTACAGAGTGAGTTCCAGGACACCCAGGGCTACACAGAGAAACCCTGTCTCGAAAATTTTTTCACAAGGCGGGGGGATTTTGAATGAATATAATTGATGATTTTTCCTCATTTTCAGAGTACACAAGAAAAATTGTCAAGCAGAGAGAAGAGTATGCAAGATCGGTTACGCCTTGGGCACTTTACAACAGTTAGACATGGCGCTTCTTTTACAGAACAATGGACAGATGGTTTTGCATTTCAAAATCTTGTGAAGTTAGTAATGGTTACATTTTAAAGTTTTTATTTTTAAATTATGTGTGCATATTTGCGTACTCGTGTGTGTGTGCACATGTGTGTATGTGCGTTATTCTTACTAGAAGAGGAATTTTATGAGGGCCTGTGTTTCCTGGGATTCTTTTTTTTAAACAGGGTTTCTCTGTGTGTAGCTTTTGCTGTCTTGGACTCAATTTGTAGACCAGGCTGGCCTCGAACTCACAAAGATGTGCCTGCCTCTGCCTCTCTAAGTCCTGGGACTACAGGCATGCACTACCATGCCCAGCTCCTGGAATTCTTTTTTTTTCCCCCTTTTTAAATTTTATCTGTCTGTCTGTCTTTCTATCTCAATTTATTCACTTTGTATCCCGCCTGTAGCCCTCTCCATCTCCTCCAAGTTCCACCCATCCTCCCTCTCCTTTCCCAGTGCTTTTCCCTAGTCTCCTGATAGGGGAGGACCTCCTCCCCTTCTCTCTGACCCTAGCCTGTCAGATAGTCTCATCAAGGCTGGCTGCATCATCTTCCTGTGTGGCCTGGTAAGGCTGCAACTCCCAGGGGGAGGTGATCAGGGAGCCTGCCACTGAGTCCATGTCAGAGATGGCCCCTGCTGGAACTCATTTTTAATGAGCCTTGCTGTGTTACTAAAGTTGGCCTTGAATTCCTGAACTTAACTGGTCCTGCATGTTGGGACTGCAGGTACACACCACCGTGTCCACCTTTTTAAAAACTCTTGTCTCCTTACCCTCTCTTAAGTATTAAAAAAATCAGCACTACATGATTTTTTTTGCCTCAGCACAGTACCTCACACTTTAGTTGACCTAAACATACAGCTTTAGGGTTTCAATGGTAAACTTTAAAACAAAGAAATTGTCAGTACTTTTGGTTTTTGTTTTGTTTGTTTGTTTTTAAGTTCATATGGTGATAGGTAAGGGCGTGTTGGCTGTGTGTCTGGGAGTCGAGACCAGATCCTATCTTTTGTTTTTTGCCTTGAAACATTTTAAATACCTAGAGAGTAGGAGTGTCAGTGTCTGCCTAGCTTTCCGGGAGCACAGCCTGTTTCACATAGTATCAAATTAGTGTTACTGTTTCACACACATAATCACAAAGTGGCCTTGTCTTGTCCCCTGGTTTATCAAGTTTTTGCTGGAGACAGCTGTGCTAGGTACTAGCTCATCACAGTGAAAGACAAAATCTCTACAAAGCTAATGAATTTGGGGGTTAGTTCTGTCTGTTAAAAGTTAGAATGTGGTATATGTGATCAGAATTGAGATACTAAGTAACTTGATAACACAGAAATAATATTTAGAAAAAGATAAATTATTGACAGTTAAGATGGACAGATATTCAATAGGGAGAGATATTGTTTATACTTGATAAAATACTGAATGCAAAAGTAGCAGGAAATGGGTTTGAGATGAAAACCATAATTTTTAATATTTTGTGAGCAAGAATCTCTGCTACTAAACTCAACCCTGACTGTCATACAGTTATGTAAATTATTAAGGTATAAATTATTAAGGGCTGGAGACGATAACTCGGTAGTTAAGAGCACTGGCTGCTCTTCCAGAGGACCCAGGTTCAATTTCCAGCACTTACATGGCAGCTCATAACAATCTTTAATTCCAGTCCCAGCATATCAGTGTTCTCTTTTGGCTCCAGCAGGCACCAAGAATGCACATGACACACAGACATACATACAGGCAAAGTACCCATACACATAAAATAAAAATAGTGGAAAAATAATTTAAGAATAAAACATTAATTATGGCAGTAGTTCCATTTTCTCATAGAAATTATTTGCATATTCTGTCACTGATAAGAACTGATTTGAGGACCTGTGCTGTTACACGATGTTTACATTCATTGTTAAAACCCAGAGTGCTTAGAAAATGAGAAGAGAAATGAATAAATGAAAAGTTAGGAACGTGTTAGTGAATAATTTCTGGACCCACTTGTGATCCCTGAATAAGCATTAACTTTTTATTTGCCTCTAGGCTCTTTATGTGTACTCATAGCTGCTTTTCTAAAGTACATTTAAAGTTTAGTTTTAATTGTTTTTGTTTGTGGTTCTGGGGATCTGACTGAACAGCTCACACATACTGGACAAGTGCCCCACTACCGTGCTGTATCCCTGGCCTTCAGGTTGGCTGTTCATTAAGTCAGAGTACAGATTATTCCTTCATCCAGACGGAAACAGGATTAACATCTCATTCTTACTTTGCTAGTTTTGAGATTTTCTATTTTGGTTCTTGATATTTTTCACTCTTATCTTAGCTCTGCTCCCTCACTAAGGCCACAGAAAAAGAATGTGAAGAATGAATACTTCAGCCACAAAGTCAGAGCTGTGGGGTTCCTTTTTGAAGGGTGGACTGGGGCAGACCATTTAGCTTGCTCTGAATCTCAGTAATATGACCATGTAGAACTGCACCATTTTTTCTTGACACGATAGGAGACCTCAAAGGAACATGGTTACTATCAGAATGAACATACTATGTGGTAGGTTTACAGGTTCCTCTGTTGGTATTGGGATGCCCATCAGGGAAAAGCACTAGCACCAAGCCTGATGAGCTGAGTAACATCCCTGCCATCCTGGGGAAGAGCAGAACAGACTGGAAGGCTGTTTTCTGACTTCCCCCTGTGCACACACGCCTCCAACTTTTGTTTTTTTGAGACAGGATTTCCTCTATGTAGCTTTGGTGTCCTGGACTCGTAGACCAGGCTGGCCACTGAACTCACAGAGGTCCTTCCGCCTCTGCCTCTCTGAGTGCTGGGATTAAAGGCGTGCTCAGTTTATCTCCAGCTTTTTGATGCAAATTTTGCTCTGTAACCTAAATTGTTTTAAACTTGCAAAGTCCCACACCTCCTAACACACACTCTAAGATTATAGGTCTATAACCATCCTATAATTCTATGACAGACACAGTGTCTGTTAGTTAGAATTGAGCTTTTTGAAAAATTGTTTTACATTCTTCTAAATTTGTGTTTATTAATGTAAGAGGTAAATTTTTCAAATTTCTGTTCTTTGGGGTGTTTTTGTTTTTTACACTAAGGTGAACTTTTATTTCAAAATGTCAACTGTGCATTCCTATCTTTTTTCACTTGCCGTTTATAAGCTTATTTCCAAATATTAATGCTAAGTGATAAAATGTATACTTAAAACTCTCCCATACTTCATTAAATGGGGCTTGGGTTTTGTTTTGTTTTTAATTCGTTTCTTTAATAGGCTCTTACTGTGTGTACTAGTATGTTTTGAGCATCATGCCAGACAGTAAGGTACAGTAGAGCATGTGTGCACACGGGTTTGTGTATAGAAAAGCACTGTCTGTTTTTATGAAAAGATTAGCCTAACTGAACTCATTCTGATGATGTGTCTGTAGGAATGGCATTTGTTAGTAAGGAAAAGGTGCTGTGAAATTCTTCGTGGCCACACACTTGCTCTTGCCTTGAGGTTTAGGAACAGCTCGTTTAAAGACTGAGTGAAGTGAGACCTGTAGGATGTTGTGCTTCACGAGTGTGGGGCCCAGAGGCCTGGAGGGCTGGCTCTGGTGGTAAGAGCACTTGGCTGCTGCTCAGAGGATCTGAGAGCCAGGGTTTGATTCCCAGCCTGCAGGTGGTGGCTCACAACCTATTTTGCAACTGCCGTTCTAGGGCAACTGATAACCTCATCTGGCCTCTAGGGGCACCAGACACTCTGGTGATGCTCGTAGGTACACACAGGCAGCACACTCAATTGGTTCTGGTGGTGCACACTTTTAATTTCAGCACTCGGGAGGCAGAGGCAGGTAGGTCTCTGTGAGTTCTAGACCAGCCAAGGCTACACAGTAAGATACTGTCTAAACTACAAATAAACAAACCACTCATACACATTAAATGATTAAGTAAATATTTAAAAATTTTAAAAAGAGTGGGACCAAAAGAATACAGACTTATATTATAAAATTGTTTCTTAAGGTGTATTTTTTTTTTCACGTTTTAATTGTGGAAAGTAATGGGAGATTACTATGGCTTTTTTTATTCATTTTTACACAGGCAACAAGAATGGGTGAATCAACAAAGGGAAGATATTGAACGGCAAAGGAAACTTCTAGCCAAACGCAAACCTCCCACAGCTAATAATTCTCAGGCACCTGCTACCAATTCTGAACCCAAACAAAGGAAAACCAAGGCAGTGAACGGAGCGGAGAATGATCCCTTCGTTAGGCCAAACTTACCACAACTGTAAGCCTTTTTAAATTTCTTGCATACATTGTTAGCAGTGAGCAGGAGTGCTAATGATGTTATTCATAATTAATACTGCAAAACCAAAAATAGTCAGGAATGATGTTAATTGAAAAGGTATCTCTGACATAAATCTCCAAGTCTGAATTTTTAAGTGGAGAGTGGGTTCTACCCCTCTTGTGTATGGGACTCAGTTGGCTGTATCAGTCTAATGTTCAAATTAATGTACCTTTTAAGTACTGTTGGTGTTGTTTATTTTCTGAACCTATAAACCCAGTTCACAGGTAGTTAACAGATATTTGTTCCTTTTCTGCTTTCTGATTTTTCTGTGTCAATTATTCTTTGTAATTCAACAGACAGAGATGCTTAAAATAGTTACATGTTTATAGAAAATTTGGTAAGTTGTCCAAAAATGTATGTGAGTGAAGATGCATTGTTGTTTCCTCTGTTTAAAGACAGTGCTTGGACTCTAACCCTGCCATGTCAGGACTTCTGAAAGCAGTGTGCAAAACAAAGTGCTCATTACATTACAAACATCAGTTCCACTCAGCCACACACTTGCTCTTGTCTTGAGGTTTAGGAACAGCTCGTTTAAAGACTGTGTGAAATGAGACCTGTAGGATATTGTGCTTCACCAGTGTGGGGCCCAGAGGCCTCCTCCACATGCATATTGTCTTGTGTTTTCACACTAGTTTCCCCCATTCTCTTCTATGCTAGTCATTCATCTTCATCTTCCCTTTCTCTCCCCTCTATTCCATTTTTGTTGCGTTCTTTGGTTTCCTCTTTATTGCCCTATGTTGACTGGCTGATCTTTAACTTCTGGGCTCAGGTGGACCTCTTGCTTCAGGCTTCCAAAAATCTTGACACTACATGTACAGACCACCATGCCCAGCTTCTCCAAAATCTATCTCAAGGGACCTGGAGAGATGGCTCAGCGGTTAAGAGTATTGCCTGCACTTCTGAGTTCAATTCCCAGCAATCACTTGGTAGCTCACTACCATCTATATTGGGATCCAGTGCCCTCTTCTGGCATGCAGGTGCACATGCAGATAACATTCATATGCATAAAAATAAATAATTTTTTAAAAATCCTTAAAAAATTCATCTCAAAATCACTTCTTCGAGTCATTCCTAATTTTCTTCTACAATTAGTACACTAAACTGTTAGCTTAAAAAAAAATAAAAAACAAGCAGGGGCTGGCATGAACTCAGTAGCAGGCTCTTTGATCACCTCTGGGGGTGGGGGTGGGGGTGGGGGGGAGGGCGCACAGCCTTGCCAGGCCACGGAGGAAGGCAATGCAGCCAGTCCTGATGAGAGCTGATGGGCTAGGGTCAGCTAGAAGGGGAAGAGGTCCTCCCCTATCAGTGGACTAGGGGAGGGGCATGGGAGAGAAGAGGGAGGGTGGGTGCGACTGGGGGGGGGGCACAGCCGGGATACAGAGTGAATAAATTGTAATAAATAATAAATTAAAAAAAAAAAACAGTAAGGACCTATTAGCAACAGAGTAGCTATCTTAAAAGCTTTGGCTTTTAACTATCCCTAAAGACTAGTCCTTTCATTGTCTGAAGATGTGGTCCTTTAACTGTTCTGTAGACACCTAGACTTTCAACTCTGCCCCTATAAACACCTGCCCCTTTAAGTTCTGCAGCAGAATTTTTTATAGTTCTTCACATAAAAATCTTTTTTGTTTTGTTTTCCCCCTGAGACAGGGTTTCTCTGTGTAGCCTTAGCTGTCCTGAACCCACTTTGTAGACCAGGCTGGCCTCAAACTCAGATCCACCTGCCTCTGCATCTACAAATGCTAGGATTACAGGCACGTGCAACCATGCCTGACTCACATAAAAGTCATTAACCTCCGGATTTAAATTTATTCCTAGATCTTCTCTTTGGCTTCTGTTGAATGCTGTTGAAATTGTTAGTCCCCTGTGGCTGTTTGTTTCTAGAAACAAGCATGTGTAGAAACTGTGACTTATATTTGTTGTCTCATACCTTAGAGCATTGCAGAATTTATTTAATGGGCTTTTATCCTTGTGCTTTTCTTTGTTTTTTTGTTTGTTTTTAATATGTAGAATCATGTCATCTGTGAAAATATTTTTAGTTCTTTCTGTACGGTTAGGATACAAATTCTAGTCTCCAGGTCCCTTCCTGATCTGGCTTCCACTTGATAGTCTTCTTTTTCTTCCTTTTACATACTAACAATATTCTAAGAATCTTTGCACTTGCTGTAACCAGTGTCTGAGATGCCCTCCCTACGTAGACTTCTCCCCATGGCTAATAACCAGAGCAAATTAAATAGTCATTATCATGCCATCTTTTGATTTTTCTTCGTAGTACATGCTATTTAAAAATTTTCCCATTGAATTGTTTCTTTTTCTACCTTTTTTTATCCTTACTGCTGATTGTAAGCTCAAAACAGAATATAAGAAGAAACTGTCTTCCTTTCTATACATATGTCCTTAGATTTCATAGCATCACTTGATTAATGACACCTATTGTATAGTGGTTAGTTAATTACTCCAGCCCAAAATGTTAAATCTACGCTGAAGAGTATCTTAAAGGGGTTTTGTGACTTCTGTATTTTACGCTTTAGTTTATCAGTATTTCAACTTAAGTATTTTTTTTTAATCATGTTTTCTTGGTTTTTAATTTTAAAAAGTACTAAGCATTAATCTCAATATAAAATTAAATTTCACTTTTGACAGGCTGACTCTGGCAGAATATCATGAACAAGAGGAAATTTTCAAGCTTAGACTAGGACATCTCAAAAAGGTACGTTGCAGCCCATGATGCTTTTCTAGTTTGTTACCAAGACTGTGGAGAATTGAATTCATTTCTTTGACTTAATTCTTAATTCATTCAATAGTAATTTTTAAATGTTTTTATTAAAATATATGAATAGGAAATTTTATAACCAGTTGATTCAGTATGAAGTGATAAAACTGAGAAAAATGGTTGCTATGTGTTAAGTTTTTGTTTTTGTATCACTTTACACTTGTTTATAAGTTTTGAAACTATAAATCTGTTGTTTTTATAGCTCTAATTTTGATGCAGCTCATTTCCAAATACTAGTAGAGATTTTTTTTTTCCTTCAAAATGAAGTTTTGAACAGACTGAAAATTTTCTTCCATTCAGCCTTTTATTTTACTTATTACATATCAGTTGTTTGACTTTTTAAATAGGATGACGTATAGATACAATTGAACTAAGTGAAGATAGTGTCTGTGAAGTCATCTCTGGGAGTTGGGTGGGCCGGACCCGTGGTAGAGGCAGCTGCTGGTGAACTACATACTCAGCCCTGTTTGACACGTTACCTGTATGCCACTTGGTTAGAGCATGCAGAAAACTCAGAAAGCATCAGCCTAAACTATGAATCAGTGAGTCCCAAAATGATTTATGTTGGCCCTCTTTTGTTTCCCTGATGTCCTTCTACTCTGTTGTGATGGTTCAGTTTCCCCATGTTCTTTGAGATAAATAGACAGCTGCAGTCTGTTCTCCAAAGCAGACAGAACTGCAGATAGAATTGTAGCAATAGTACAACCATTAATGAACTGTGAGGTACAGCTGAGTCACAAGTATTTTTATGTCCATCTACGCTGTTTTGATAAAAGGAGGAATGTTTGATGCCTCATATAAAAATTCACCAAGGGCAAGTAAAATAGATCAGCAGGTAAAGGTGCCTGGAAACCCAAGGTCTGCATGATGGGAGAAGCAGAATGATTCCATCCACCTGTCCTTTGACCTCCACACTTGTGCTGTGGCATGTATGGTTTATGCACAAAGGAACACAGAACTAAAAATAAAATTCCATAAGCATTTTATTTAATGCCTTAGTTGAAACATAGGAAGTTTAGTATGTGTTTTTTGGTGAGCCCTTGATAATAAAGGGATACCGTGTGTGTGGTTGCTTATTCTGTGGCTGAGGAAATGCTTAGTCACAGTGCTGTTGAGGCTGTGTGTTAATACTTAGACTACTGGTGAGTGAATGCTGCTGTGCTACTGAAGGTGCACTTAGAGCTTTGTCTGGAAGTCACTGGTCACACATGTGGTGGCACATTTAAATTACCCTTCCTCATGACATTTTCTATCTGCCTTATTCAGCTAAAACTAAAACTTTATAGCAGTTAAAGTCAACATTACTGTATGTGGGTTGTTGTTGCTTAATAAACTTTTGAAAGCATTCAGGTTTGCATTTTGGCAGTAGATTTTTGAGTTTAAAGTTTTCTTGGTACTTTGAAAATATTTACTGTCTATGACCAATGCTTTATTTTCTCAAGTAAAATCTACCTTCATGTCTCATTACTACCATAATAATTTTCTGTGCATTTTCCCAATTTATATATCAAATTTGCTGAATCTTAGATTTCTAGCATCTTCTATTCAACCAATTCCCAACATGACCCCCACCCCCTTATTTCTCTTCAATGAAGTATTTTGGGAGAAAGTGTCAATTCACAGTACTGAAAGACTTAAGTACTTACAGCTTTTTTCTTAGGGACTGTTTTGGGTGAGAAGAATGATAGTGTTTATAAAGGCAGTTGCTGGCAATTCATAGAGATACTAAAACTGAGCAAGTAATGTCACCTTAGAGAGCAACTAAATAGGAGCTGCCTGTTTAAAACTGGGTATTTATGCTTTAGTTATTCCATTAGAAATAAGCACGAACTTGATTTGTATTAAAAATAGGTTCCTAAGCACAGCTAGAAAGTAGGTCATTCTGGTGTGTGTGTGTGTGTGAGAGAGAGAGAGAGAGACAGACAGAGACAGAGACAGATAGAGTGTGTGAAACCAAGAAACAGAGACTCAACATACAAAGGGTGGTCTTGGTTCAAGATAAAATTTTGTTTTATTGGTTCCCAAGCTCCTGGATTTGGTGCTGGTAGAGCAAAACCTCAGTTGTGAATATATAGCTTCTGCCATAGGCTGGGCTGCTCTGGTAGTGAGTACTTGATGTTTGTGGGACCTACTAACTAAATAGCAGATCAGATAAGGGTGTAGATTTGGAGCCGGGCATGTTAGAGTAGCAAAGGTCTCTCTCGGATCCTTCCTCCTGCTGCCCTTCTCTTTTCTTCCTCTCTCTCCCAGAAATAAACTCTTAACGTAAAGTAGAATTATTATATTAGCCATAAATTATAAGCATATTTCTTGTTAAGGAATCCAACACCATAAGAATTTAGAATAGAAAGGGCATTTTAAGTGTAAAATTGATACTCTGTGATGTAGTTCATAATTTGTTCATATGCATTTCATATTTAATGGTAATTAAAGAGGTAAACAATATAGAGAAGCTTATTTATTATTAATTGAATCATGTTCAGTTTATAGCTATGCAACTCTGGAGTCTTAGAAAATAAAATTCTAAAGTATGATAAAGTCAATAGGAACCTTTAAAAGTATGTGGCTTAAAGTGAATAAATCAAATTTGCCACCAAAACTTAATCAAAAACTTTACTTAAGTGCCAGGTATTGTCTTCTAGGATTATGAAGGTCACTCTGTATTATCTCACGGTATATCAAGAATTCTTAAGCCAGGCACAGTGGCACACTCCTGTATCCCTAGAACATAGGCAGCTGCAGTGGGAGGAGTCACCAAGCACCCTCTACACAGTGAGGGTGTGTAGACCCACTTGTGTCTCAAAAAACAAAACAACCCCTCCTCCAGAAAAAAAGCCAGAATGCTGTGTATGAGGCCTGGGTTCCAGCCTCAGTACTGTGCACAAAAGGTTTTTAAATATTTATGATAAGAATTGAGTTTTCAGGAGTCTATGCAATCATTGCTCTCATGTTCATGTGTGGTTTATTTTACTCTGTCTGATGCAGGCATGATTCTCAGGCCTCAATGGAATTACACATACTGTGTTCTTTCTTTCTTTCTTTCTTTCTTTCTTTCTTTCTTTCTTTCTTTC